GGCACCTGGTCCCCTGAACATCGCTGGGTGCAACCCTGGAGACCCCCTTCACCAGATAGAAGAATCTTTCGGTTCTTCTATTGAACTGCCAGACCAGCTGGCCAAGAATCACCGGTTGGGCCCCTGGACCTCTGTGCACGGTTTGGGAAGCTGCCCCCCCGCCACACACACACCAAACAAAACCAAAAATGATTGAGGAGAAGCTCTATGGGTTGCTGTTCTTAAAATGCTCATGCATTAGCTCTTCCGAACTTATACAATTCGTTAAAACCTTTTTTCCCAGCATTTTAGGGGGAGCCGTGCTGGGAATTGAACCCTGGGCCTCAGGCCTCAGAGGCCTGGGCCCTCTTCCCACTGACCCCCGCCCCCTGCTCCCCACTCCGGTCCTTTTAAGGTGATGAAGTTAATGTCTAGTTGAATGCTTTTAAGGTCAAGAGCATATTCTTTGTGAAAGTTTAAAAATGGCATTTGCATTTTATGTCTAGCTCGCACAAAGCCAGACTATTTGCCAAATAGAGAGAGGTGATCCTGTTGCAAATAGTTTTTGCATTGGAATTCATGGTTGTTTATTTAAAGATTAGGTTAGCAAAAAACCTGCAGTTTTGAAAAAGTATCTGTTGAGTCGAAATCAGTTACCACAGTTGACTTTAAACTTGGGTTCTTTTTTTTCCCCACAGTCATAAAAAGTATGCAAAGAAATCATGGTTTGTTTGTTTGTTTTTTTTATTTTTATTAGTGAGACATCATGAGGTACAGTTGTAGACTTACAATTTTTTGTGCTTGGGTTTCAGTTATACAATGATCAAGTACCCATCCCTCCACCAGTGCCCATTTACCACCACCACGGATCCAAGTATCCTTCCCACCCCTCATCCCCCCCATCCCACCCTGCCTCTGTGGCAGGGCATTCCCTTTTGTTCTCTCTCTCTCTCTCTCTCTCTCTCTCTCTCTCTCTCTCTCTCTCTCTCTTTATTGGGTGTTGTGGTTTGCAAAAGAGGCAATGGGTGGCAATCATGTTTGGTCTCTAGTCTACTTTCAGCATGCTTCTCCCATCCTGGGAGGATACTCCAAACATCCTTTATTTGGTGCTCCCTTCTCTATCTGAATAGCCCTTTCCTCTAGGATACCCGGCTGGCCTCTAAGTTATGGAGTAATCCTCCTGGTGCTGATCTCAGCTATTCTTGGGTATTAATCTCATACTTTGTTACTTTATATCCCCCAGATGAATGCAATCTTTCTATGTCTATCCCTCTCTTTCTGACTCATTTCGCTTAGCATGATACTTTCCATATTGTACCACTTGTATGTAAATTTCATGACTTCATCTTTTCTAACAGCTACATAGTACTCCATTGTGTACATGTACCAAACTTTCTTTAACCAGTCATCTTAAGCTTGGGTTCTTAAGCCCAAGAACATTTTAGGTTTTTTTTTCTATAAATTCCTAATCCAGCTTGTTTTCAAAATTAATACAAACAATTGTAAGCTCGCTTGTTTTCTTTCTTCACATGTCATTGTAATTTTCTTACAGAAGTAGTGCATGCTTCTTTGGAGGAATTTAGAAACATAAAGTGCTTGACTGAAATTGCTCTAATCTCCCCATCTGTCAATGAACACAGTCTTGGTTTATTGCTCTCACATACTCGTGCACTTACACATATGTACCATATACATAGGAAAGCACATGTGCATATGTATAACTTAAGTTAGAAAATTGGTAACCTGTTTTTGTACTAAATGTTATTATTCCTTGAGAACGTGTGCTTTAGAGGCTGTGTATCACTCTATCACTGTCCTCCCGTTGTTCATTGATTTGCTCGAGCGGACCCAGTAACGTCTCCATTGTGAGACTTGTTGTTACTGTGTTTGGCATATCGAACACATCACGGGTAGCTTGCCAGGCTTTGCCATGCGGGCGAGATACTCTCGGTAGCTTGCCGGGCTCTCCGAGAGGGGCGGAGGAATCGAACCCGGCTCAGCCGGACTGGCTGCGCACAAGGCAAACGCCCTACCGCTGTGCTATTGCTTTATATTAATTCAATAGTTACAGTTTTCCAGAAAAGCAGAACCAATAGGATGTGTGTTTATATATTTATCTACATGCATAGATATGGTTGTAAGTGTTTTATAGACAGACAGGCACACATACGCACACATACACACATTGATTTTAAAAATGTGGCTCACATAAAATAAAAAAAAAATGATATTTTTTTATGATATTTTATTATCTCATTCCTACTTTGGACAAACTTGCAGGCTATCGAATATAGCCTGCCCACAGGGCAGAGTCTGGCAAACTCCCCGTGGCGCACCAAATATGCCAAATACCAGTAACAATGATGGGTCTCTTCTCCTAAAGAGCCTTGAATATAATCTCAGGGCTAGGATGAAAGAGACGTTACTGGGGCCTGCTCGAGGCAATCGACAAATAACAGGGTTTTGTGATTGATTGTGATTGGCTCACAGCTGTGGAGACTTGTCAGTTGTAGAGACTTGTCAAGTCAAAAGCTACAAGATAAATCAGCATGACCAGAGACCCGTGAGGAGATACAGGTCAAACCCAGAGGCAGCTTGCCAGCAAATTCTCCTTTGGTTGAGGAGCTTATTTCTCTAGCTAAGGCCTTTAACTGATTGGATGTGGTACAGATTATGGAGGGTAATCTGCTTTCCTTGAGGCTACTGATCTTTACAACAACAACAAAATCCTCACGGAAACATCTGGAAGTCAGGTTCCCGAACTTACTTACTTGCCTGCTACCCCCCTTTCAGAAAAGCAATCACTCAGCACCCCCTGGATCAGTTCGGTGCCCCTCGAGACAGTATTTCCCACTTTGGCAAACGCTGAACTAGAATAACGTTTGACCGGGTATGTAGTGACCAGTATCTTTGACCAGACGCCTTTGCCAATTCGACACAGAGTTCTGTTGGCCTGACTTGGAAAGGAAAGTTTTTCACAGTTGGAAAGAGACTGCCTTCAATTAAGCAGTCTCATACGGAAAATGAAAACGCTGTGCTTACTGTAGGGAATATGTGCCTTTGTAGGACCCAAGCAAAGTTCCTGCTTCCACGAAGCTTACATTCTGAGAGGAAAGGAGATTAAAAAAATAATAACTTAAAAATTCAGTATATAAAAGCTTTAGCTAAAGAAGAACGGGAGCTAGTATAGGCTGCTATTTTATTTAATGTAGCGTGGCGAAAGAAAGCCCCTTAATTTCCCATGGTAGAAAACACCGAGCGAGAGCCGACCAGGCAGCTGACCGGGTAGAGGGAAGGACGGGTCCTGTGGGCTGTGCTCGGGCAGCAGAGTGACCAGCCAGGGTGTACCTGAGTGAGTCCTGCGGGGGCTGAGCTGTGCCTCTGCCCTCTCAGTGATTGAGGCCTGTGGTTGGGCCGATGAGGTCACCCCCGGGTCCCTGGTGGTTCCCACCTTCCTGTGCTCACAGTCAGGTATACCCACTCTGCTTCTGCCCTCAGATCTTTGTAGTGTCCCTGGGTGCTATTCCTGGCCCTGGGGGTAAGGTCCTGTCAGTTGGTTATAAAATACTGTTTTGAAGGACACCCCCACCCCAACCCCACCCCCGCCATCACCACTTGGCATGATTAATTGTCCACTTACAATGGCTGGCGAGAAAAGCTTCTCTCCCATCTTTGCGTAGGGTTTTGACGTTGGGCTTTGTGGGGATCTGTGGGTATTTAACTGAGTTGATTCTCAGGTTTGCAAAATGGTCACAGGCACATTCTTTGACATTCTTTGAGTATTTTAGTGTTAAGGAATCTTTTTTTTTTTTAAGTTTTAAGGACTCAGTGATCTTTAATTCACTCCTGGGGACGCTATAGGATGCACACAGGCTCCTTCCCATGTCGGGAAGGGCCTGTCATTCCCCTATGCGGGTTCTCACATCTGTTACCACCCCTCGACCCTGCTGTGCGGCCAAATCTCGAAACACTTTACTCTTCCTAAGTACATTGGCTCAGTATAGGATTTGGTCTTGGAACTTGCAAAGTGACCTCCTGGAACAGAAAACGACGCCTCTGCCAGCAACGGGAACATATACTTGACTCTGTAACTATATTCGGCCAAACCGTGCTCAGATATTTGGACATGATGTGCCGATCCTGCGCCCTGGCCGTTACGGACGGTTTCACTGAGCAGAACATGGACGCTCCGAGCCTGAGCAAGCAGATAGCAAAGCCCCAAGTGACTGCATTGGGGAAAAAAAAAAGTGATTACATTTATTTGGCAAACTAGCCCGGCAAGCTACCGAGAGTATTCGATATGCCAGACACAGTAACAACAAAGTCTCCAATAGAGACGTTACTGGGCCCGCTCGAGCAAATCGACGATCAACGGGAGGGCCTTTACTGATTATTTCTTCTGGAAGTCATGATCCTGAATGTTTTACTAGTATTGATTGATTTAGTGTCTTATATTTTGCTATTTGGATTCTTTTTTTATGAATATACTGCTTTATGAAGTCTTCAGTTTCAGCTTTTGTGTTTCAGTTTCCATTTCCTACTATTGTGTAAGTGAAAAATTTTAGAGATTTCAGTATAAATTTTGGGAAACTTATAAGAAGTCGTTAGAGCTGCCTTATAACGCCTCATAATGAAATGTTTCACACGTGGCTAACTCTAGGGTCTTTACCGGGGCCTGCCTGAAGTTACTTATATCTGCTCTCTTGGCTCTGTTTGCAGCCTTCCATAATAATGAGCAATGTTTGCTGCCTTTTTGTTTGTTTGTTTTTTGGGTCACACCCGGCAATGCTCAGGGGTTACTCCTGGCTCTGCACTCAGGAATTACTCCTGGCGGTGCTCAGGGGACCATATGGGATGCTGGGAATTGAACCTGGGTCGGCCATATGCAAGGCAAATGCCCTACCCGCTGTGCTATCACTCCTTGCTGCCTTTTTTTTTTTTAATCAAAGAATTGCTAGACTCTCACCTCACCTCACTTACCTTCCTCCGAAGAGCTTCTAACGGTCTGCTCTTTTGCTTAGAGAACAGCAAGGCTCGGAGTAACGACTTCGCCGAGAAGAACGGCCTTCAGAAGTACGACTACGTCCTACACCCGAGAACCACGGGCTTCACTTTCGTTGTGGACCGGCTCAGAGAAGGTGAGTGGCTCCCTCAAGCACAGCTTCTCACGGGAGTGGCCGAAGGAGCTGAACTCTGCATACATCTCTCTGGAAATTACCGTTTTCATTTTCTCCTGGGAAGAGAGGTGCATGTTCTCAGACGAGGCGGATCTCATGCACTAAATTGTGCCAGTCTGAAAATATAAAATAGCTCTTCGAAAACCTCTTTTCCTTTGAAAGGACATACAGAAAATGATACGTACAGCCAAACCGTCCATCCATTTCTTAAATGTTTTGCAAAAGCAACGGAACGGTCTAGATAGCGTCTCAGCACTTGTGGTATTGTTCTTTGCAGCATAAAAAAAAGTCACATCTTATATTAGTTTTTCCAGTTCACAAATGACTGGTTGGTAGGGAGGTAAATTCCGTTGAGTTCGTTGGTCACGAAACGGAAGTTGGTACCCATGGCATTGGTGAACTGCCAAAGGGCAGGAGTAGAACCTCATCCTTCTAGTTTGTTTCTCCCAGAATTGTGACCGTGGAAGGGTCTCCATGGGCAGTGGACACCACTGAGGAGTCAGTGTTTACAGCATTACATTGTTGTTTTTTCTTTTTGGGTCACACCCGGCAATGCTCAGGGGTTAGTCCTGGCTTTGCACTCAGGAATCACTCCTGGCAGTGCTCAGGGGACCATACGAGATGCTGGGAATCGAACCCGGGTTGGCCGCGTGCAAGGCAAATGCCCTATTCGCTGTGCTGTCACTCCAGCCCCCGCATTACATCGTTTTTATATAACATGAAGATGGTGCATTTCATTATAGCTCTGCCCTTTATGTGTCTGTCCCCGTCCATGCCGGTGCCATGTACAAATAGCTGACACATGTGAGTATACACAAAAAAAGGAATCATTCAGAAACATATTACGCAACTGACAAGAACAGTTCATCATGGGGCCAGGAGTTAGTGCCCTGGAGATAGTACGCCGGATGGGGCACTGACCTTGCACACGGCTGACCCAGGTTCAACCCCCAGCGCCCCGTATGGTGCCCCTGAGCTCTCCTTGAGTGAATCCTGAGCACAGAGCCAGGAATAAGCCCTGAACAACTGCTTAGTGTGCCCACCCCCAGCCCCAGAAAACAAGTAGTTCAAAGCTCAGCGCCACCTCGGAGGGGAACAGTCCTAATGGCACATTTCTGGTTTCTAGCAGGTGACATTGTTTAGTCTGACAACCATGACAGACGGTCACATAAAATTATCTGTGCTTAATGCGAAAGGGTCTTGAAACGTGGAGGAAAGGGCGTCGAGTTCGAGTTCTGGCTCTTTTTTTTTTTTTTCCTCAAAATGACATCCTGGTCGCCCCTTTAGAATTTCACGGGACTTAGGGTACAAAGTCCCTGATCGTGAGCCCTTGTCAACTGCGTCCTTCCAGCCAAGCACCCGCGCTTGGGAGGAAAGTACCGGCCATCCCAAGCCAGGAGCGTGGGTTGAGAGCGTTGTGACTATCTGCCTTGGGGTTGGAATCCTGTATTTCTAACCCCAGGGAAGGGAGCGAAGGCCCCCCAGGGCTGTGAGGGGAGTGAGTGCGAGCCACTCCTCCCTCAGGGCCTCCTGGATTCACCCGCCTCTGTCCACAGCACCTGCCCCCTCCTCGGTCCTCGTAGTTGGAAATCGGCGTTCTCCTGGGCAGTCGCTTCCACCCCGCAGAGCTCAGCCAACCACAGCAGCGTTCAGCTGCCGTCAGTTCTTGGGGGCTCTCTGAGGGTCGCCCTGAGGTCAGCACCCACCTATCTCCTGCCTCTCTGCCTCTCTTTGCAGTCACTGCACCTCACAGCAATAGCCCCTGCCTCCCATTTCTAAGTTATACCCGCACAGTTTGGTAAAAGTTTCATATAATCTTTGAACCTCACCTTTTTTGCCCGCCCCCCCCCCCCCCCAGAAGGTCATAAAATCTGTGACAGTTTGGCAGGACTGTGTTTTGATGACGAGCATAATTGGCAGGAAGAAAAGCAGACAAATTATTGAAATATTGGGCACATCAGATGCCACGCGCTGTGGCCTTTTCATGTGACTTTTTATTGCTGGAAGCTGTTTACGAAATAGGACCAGACCTTTCCCTTATAGTAGAAAATGTGATTGTACAGAGATCTTTGACATTTGCTGGAATATTTCCGGAGACCTTTTCCATTTCTCCAAATTGGCCGGTGTCTTTCTGCAGGGCCGGTTGACTCCCTTTTGAGGCCATTTCACAGAGAACAGAAGGCTTTTACTTACTTATGGTGATGAATAGAGCACAAAACCCAAATGAAATCTGGATGCTGGTCACGGGACCAGCACGCAGAGCAGCTCAGGACATGGCCTGGCCACCGCCTTGAGGCAGAGGGATTGCAGGTGACGTCAGCAAAATGGCACACAGCCTCCTGTGGAACTTTGGGGTTTGGGGTCACCAGTGTTGAATCTTTGAATGCCCGATAGTATTTCAGACTATAAATGGAGAGAGAGAGAGAGGGAGGGAGGGAGGGAAAGATTCATTTACTTCTCCTTCTCTGTTGCAGAAAAATCTGAGCTTGGTTTAATGGGATTAAAAAGTTCTTCTACCCTTATTGAAAAATGTTAGAATCCCTACATCCTATATATAAGGAAGCTTCTGACGTGTGTCGCTCTTGCCCCATGGCAGGCACTGAAACTCCCCACGTGACACAGTGAGCCAGGAAGCTTTTGAAAACTCACATACTCAGTGGATTAGAGCCTGGAGTGGGGTTCTGGGCTCCGAGTTCCCCCCTTAGCCATTTGCATCCGGGTCACCAGTGTCCCCAGCTGTGCTCGGTGGGGTTGGCCTGTCCTCCCTGGAGTAGACTTGTCACCCCAGTGGAGTTGGTGGTACTACCGTGATTTAAACTCGGATCTGTCTGAGGCCAAAGCCCAGGTGTCCTTCTGACTGTGCCATAAGTCAGTTCTCTTCTATCCCAGATGCCACAAAACCTTAATCCTCTAGGGTTTTGGCTTTCTCTCATTCCTAGAATTTTTCCCGGTGTCTTTGGCTCCGTGGTACATTTTATTCAACACATGTCTTGTTTGTGTCAATTAAAGCACACCCAGGCGTGAGCCATGAGGGGTGCTGCCCCGTGTCGGCCTAGTGAGGGGAGTCTATGTCGAGGAGTTCCCTTTCCGGAAGCCCCTGACGATTATGCTCCCTGTGTTTAAACCATTCACCCTCCACTCCTCCCATCCTAAAGACAGCGAAGGGAGCGCGACATGCGAACCGTTCTTTTCAACTATGGTTTCATCTTTTTCTTACTTTCGCAACCTGTTTTAAAAAATTGGAAAATTGGCCTTTTCCACTTTGGAAAATCCCGTATCGTCTTTTGAAAGTGTATCTCCACCTTTCTCTTTTGTCACCTTTCTCTGTCAGTTTCTTTTAGTAAAAACTACTTTTAAAAATGGGAAAATTAGTTTGTTGGTTTTTGTTTTTGTTTTTGTTTTTTTTTTTTGCTTTTTGGGTGTCACACTGTGATGCTCAGGGGTTACTCGTGGCTGTGCACTCAGAAATTATTCCTAGCAGTGCTCCGGGGATCATATGGGATGCTGGGAATCGAATCCAGGTCAGCCGCGTGCAAGGCAAATGCCCTACCTGCTATGCTATATCGCTCCAGCCCCTGGAAAATTAGTTTTAAAGAAGAAAAAGGCATCCGCAATTTCATAGGTTATTTCTGGGAAATCCCAACTCTGCTTTGGACTCATAATCTCCCTGTGTTTTTAAGCATGTTCATGTGTGTCTAATGAAAATAAGGGCAAATCCTACTTGTTTTATGATTTTTGTTTGTTTTGGCGGTGCTCAAGGGATCACTTCAGGCTCTGCGTACTCCTGTCAGTGCTTGGGGGACCATGTGGGGTGCCAGGAATTCAACCCAGGTCGGCCATGTGCAAGGCGAGCACCCAACCTGCTGTACGGTTGGTTGCTCTGGATTGTTGTTTGTTTGATTTTGGGGGCCACACTCGGCAGTGCTCAGAGCTTATTTCTGGATCTATGCTCAGAGATCACTCCACACAGGCTTGGGGTACCATGTGGGCTGCTGGGGATTGAACCCGGGTCAACCACATGAAAGCAAAATGCCTTATCTGCTGGACTATCACTTCAACCCCAGTTTTATGAATTTTTTTTTACTTACTGTTATTCGTCGATTGCCTCGAGCATGCCCCAGTAACGTCTCTTTCATCCTAGCCCTGAGATTATATTCAAGGCTCTTTAGGAGAATGAGACCCATCATTGTCACTGGTATTTGGCATATTTGGTACGCCACGGGGAGTTTGCCAGACTCTGCCCTGTGGGCAGGCTACATTCGATAGCCTGCAAGTTTGTCCAAAGTAGGAATGAGATGATAAGATGTCATAAAAAGATGTCCTGATAAGATGTCGCGCGGCCGCTAGATTTTATAGTCTCTGAGTCTTGGCCTAAGACTGAGTCTGAGTCTTTACTTACTACATTTTATATATATTTCCTCTCTCTCCTTACATGAATTTTTAGAAGCGTATGCTAATATGTGCATGATATTCTATCAGATAGAAGGACCACTATTTATTTGACTAGTCTTCTATTGTTCAAAATTTAAATCGTTTCCAGTGTTCCACTGCTATAAATAATAGCAAAATATGCATAAATCTCTTTAATTATTTCCCTGGCAGACATTTCCAAGTCTAATCACTAAGTCAAAGGACATACCTTTTTCTAGGGCTTAAAAACATCTGATTCTTGCACCCGTACCATTGCATTCTCCTTCCATTGATACTGCCTCAGGAGCCTCTCCTAGGGACACACCTTCCCTTCTTGCTTTTCCAAAATGACTCCAGTAAGTGGGGTCCCGGGACTCTGGGCTTCGGTTGGTCACCTCTGGTTTCTTCTTGGCACATCCCTATGGCGTCGAGCTCACGGTCTTGCTAAAGAACCCCTGGGTTGGTCGCATATTTCATGATCACAACCACCCTGTTGTTCGTCGATTGCCTCGAGCAGGCCCCAGTAACGTCTCCTTCGTCCTAGCCCTGAG